GTAATTATGTTAAAAATTAAAATTATACTTTTTATATAAAAAAATAAATTTTAAAATATAATTAAAATGATAATAAATTTTATATGTATAAAAATAAATTTAATATTTTTAAAATAAATTTATAAATTTAAAATTAATTTTATCAAACCTTGAATGCAAATTTTAAATTATATTTATTTTCCATATAATCAAATTGTATTTTTAATTTTTTTAACATAATTAATCATCTCCCTATATATATTATATATAATTATTGAATAAAATTAAAATTATTGATTATATTAATAAATAATTTAATGATTATATATAAAAATTATGTAAAAATAAAGATGGATTGAAAATATAAAAATATAAATTTTACTTTTTTTTCATAGAAAAACTCAATATATAAGTTTGAATCCATTTAAAATCATGTTAGTTTCTTTTTTTCCCCTACCAATGGTCATAACTTGTTATATATAAGAAGATGTAATCCAAAACCAATTTAGGGACTCAGCCCAGTAGTTTTGGCATGCTCTGAAGGAGTTGGGGTTGGAGGTTTGATTCCCTAGTTGTAACACTCGTAACCCGTATAATTATACCTATACATATTATAGATGTCACCCGAATTTTTAAAATTATTTTTTCTTTTTCAAATATGATTTAAAATTTATTTTCTTAAAATGGTAACTGATATTATAAAAATATCATATCATATAATTTATATTTTTTTATAACAAATTTTCTTAAAACGTGGTTATTGTTCATTGCTACAGTAACTGCTACAGTAACTTTCGAAAATACATATAAATTCATAAAAATTCCATTTTGTTTTCAATTTTGTTCAACAAAGCAAATACAACATTAATAATTACATGCCACTAATTAAGTCTACATTACATCTTAAGATGTCTTACTGATATTGAAATATACTCTTCGATGCTTGATGTCGCTTTAAACTCTTTAATCCACTATTGGCCTTTTATCTACACGTGAAAATCATCACACTCTAAGTATATACTTAGTGAGACAATTAAAATAGTAAACAGTGCAAATACAATTCATGCATGAATTTCACTGTAAAAAAACAAATGCCATAAAATCATGTTACATACATGTCCAATATTTTATCATGATCAAAATATCATAACTGAATATTAAAAATTTTCTTTCCAATATACTTGTCATTCGTTCCATAAGCTCGTAAGCTTATTTGCATAACTTACCATTTATTAACCAATAAACCATAAACCATAGACAATAGCCCGGTATAAAACCCCGAGGACCCTGGATACACGAGTCAAATATAAGCACCGTAATACTAACCCGTATGACACATAAGGTCGTGTCCACCATCTGTACTAGGTATCCTTAAGTACAGTCCCGTATGGCACATACGGTCGTACCCATCATATACACTAGGTATCCTTTAGTGTATCCCGAATGCAGCCTGCTACTGGACTCTATGGCATGCCAACTATACCCTATCCCTCAATTACTTACTTGGTCATACAGTCTATTTTATTTGATCCATCCATGGCAAAGTATATTATTAATATTTAACAATGGGGTAGTTCATACCCAAAATAACATTCATGATAAAATATCACATTTTCCAAAATCAATGCATTATAATTTCATACTCTGACATATCAATGTCATGTCAATTTATAAAAATATGATATAATATCATGTTGATAAAACAAGGTCGACTTATCGCAAGTCTTCCTGATAATATATAAAACATCCATGTATAATTTCATGCATGTATTGCACTCACCTTGACACTTTATAATTTTCCAAATATATATATGTGCCTCACTATTGTCCACAATCAACCATTTTCTATTTGACTTGCTTCGATCACAAATCAATCACGATCTGTATAATTCACAAATTCATAACAATACATATGTTAGTTTTTACTAACATAATCATATCCCAAAATAACTCCATAATATATTTGAAACTCATTCTCTATCAAAATACTTATCTCTTAATAATTCCTTTTAACATTGGAACCAACTTTTTCAGTTTACACAAAATGGTCCTTCACCATTTTATCACTTACATTCTTAATACCAAAAATTCCAGGATTGAATTTATTTCCATTCAAATGCTTTTACAAAAACATAATTACATTTAAGTACCCCAACTATACAAATATTGTACTTAAATCACAAATCTTTTCAAACTTCCAAAATAGTCATTTTTCACATATAACACTCATTTAAATTCCCAATCAACAATTTCCAGCATAGTATATCAATTATACAACACTTATACAACAACCCCTCAATTTTCCAGAATTTACGAATTGATCTCCAACTTTTCAAAATTTACAAAATGGTCCTCAAAATTTTCAAAAACTTGTATAAAACTTCCTTCATCATTTCCAACCCATATATAATTTTTCTATAATTTTTCTCACTCAAACAATCCATGACCAAAACTTAAAGAACAAGTTCTAGAAAAATTAAACATGTTCTAATCATCATACATGCTTAAATATGAATCTACTACCTCACAAACATCTATATTCATCATCAATTTCGTGATCCCTTATATGAACACAAACCCTTAATTTTGGAATCTTTGAACACCAACAAGATTACCATGCAATATTGATACCAAAAGATAGAGTTTTTCCGTATAACAATTTTTTTATTTACAACTTACTCAAAATCCTAAGTTAATTACTTGAAAATTGAGTTGAAGCTTTCTCTTACCTTTGAAGAAGCCCACGTCTAGTTGGAGAACAAGATAGCAAATTTGAGTGAAATGTTGAGTGCATTTAATCTTATTTTACACTATATTCCACTATAAATGAATATAATATTCATTTAATTGGGATATGACCAAATCACCCTTAATGAATCTTCATATTCACCATAAAACCATGACAACTCATCCTTATCATATTTCAAAGTTAAAGCTGAATTATTTTGACTTTAATTTCTAAAATTTCCCATGAAATTTCAAAACTTGCATTTTAGTCACTAAATTCCACTGTTTTGATTAAATCTGAAAAATTGCACATTTCCAGACCAAATTTCTTTGATCCAAAATATTAAAAGAATATTTCCAACCATTTTATAACATCCTTCAAATTTTTGTAAAATTCCAATTCAATCTGAAATTACCGATTCCTTACCGGTTTTAACCCTTTCTAATTTTTCTTTACTAAAATTCCAAATCCAAAATATAATTTCCATAAAACCCCACTCTCAAGAGTAAACTATCTATTTATGGAATAAAATTATTTTTTGGAACTTTATCACTTAATTCCCCAAAATTTCTTCCAAGTTTTATACTTTGACCATCAAACTTCCAAAAGTTACATTTTGGTCACTAACCAAAATTTAGGGCATTGCACTAGTAGCAAGTTTGAAATTTTTTTATATTTTGTATCAAATTAGGTGTGACACGTGTCACCACCTGATTGAATATAAAATAAAATAAATAAAATAATTAAAATTAATAATATATTTTCTAATATGCTAGTGACACAAGTCACCATCTAATTGGAGTTTAAATTTATTAAATTTAGTTAAAATTATGACCAAATTGAAAGAATATATAAATATTAAGGACTAAATGTGTAATTATACCAATTTTTTAACTGACATGTCAACAATTCCATTAAATCTTAACGACAGATGGCCTGATTGAATGCATTTAAATAATTAGGTAGTCTAATTGACAGGAATTCAAAAATGGTGGTCAAAATGAAAATGGATTATAGTTGGGTGTCACTAGTATAGTATACCCTATAAATATTATAAATTATATTAATTATTTATTAAAATAATAGTATTATATTATATTTTAAAAAGTATTAATTAATATATTTCAAATAATTTATTATTAGATTATTATATTAATATTAAATACATAAATAATATCATTTATAATTAAATTTAATAATATTTTTATTAAATTAATAAATAATATAAATTTTATTAAAATTTTATTATATATTCTTAAAATAAAAATAAAATATCTTATATTATTATAATATAATTGAGTACATCATTATAATATTAAAAATATAATATATATTATTAGAAATTTTAATAAATATATTTTAAATATCTTGATAATTAATATTTTTGATTAAATGATATTAAAATATTATATCAATATTAAATTTATGAAATAAAATTATTTTTAGTATCTATTATTTGAATTGAAAAGTTTGGACAATGACTTACGAAAAATTAGACCGTAAGTCATTTTCTAGAAAATGCAAAGAAAATTATATTGATTAGTAAAATGTTTTACGTATACCAACCAAACACTGAAAAATGAGGGAAACGTTTTCCGAAAAATATTTTACGTGAAACAAACAAACCCTTAATCTTAAACGATCAAATTATAATTCAATCCTCAAAAAAAATATTATTCAATTTTTTTTGTTACTCTCCCGTTCTATGGTATCGTCTTGACTAATTTAGATCGACATGGTCGCATACCTAACTTTAGTGGGTGAATCTCAAATTTTTTTACCTATACAATCACTCAAACATAATATCTTATTTGGACAATATCAAAGTACTTACTATTTAAACTAACCTCGTTGGTAAATTATTATTCATTTTTAACACTCTTAATTTTCCACCCTAGCTAGTAGCTTCACCCTTCACTGCAAAAGACAAGACGGAGCTCCAAATCAATATAAAAATTGTACATACAGGTTTTTCTGAATTCCTTTGTATTAGGATTGGCTGCTTTAGCCATCCAGCAATAAAAATGGTTGGTTTTGATTGGATGACTCGTCACAAGAAGTGAAAAAAGAAGAAGAATCACGAGGTGAATGTGAGAAACGTAGATTGATGATCGAAGTGAAAGACAAATCCAAACCAAGGGAAAGGTAAACGACGAGGAAGTGAACACGTGTCAAAAGCCCAATCCCCTTTCAAGCCCTGCCTATAATGTAGTGCGCAAAACTTGGAATCCCATGAATGTATACGGACGTGGTGTTTTCTTCTCTCTCTAAACGGTCCTCCCTTGCACTTTTCCTGCTGCCATGCTTTGGTTTTGCATTTCTTCCTTCTCACTCTGCCTCTTTTAATAATATTTCTCTCTCTTTCACATTCTAAGCTTTTTCTTTTTCTTTTAATTTGATCATATTTTCTTCACAATTGATAGGGTGTACCCAGCCTGGCAAATGGGGCTGCTTTTATTTCCTCACACCAACCAATAAAAGTTTCCACCTTGCTTTTTTGATACCATACGTCTGGGGTGGATTGATTGGATCTTAATTGAAATCCTTGGATCAAGTGCTCGATCCTTCCTAGCAAAAAAAACGGGATTTGGTGCTTTTTTTCCTTTGAAATGATGGGTTAGTGTTCTTTTTTTGTTATGGTGGATTGTGGAGGGAGATCAATGGCTTCAGCAACAGATGTATTTCCTGCAACAACAAAACTAGAAGGTGGAAGCTTCAAAGGCGGATTCGGTTCAATGGAGGACGAAAACGATGACGCATTAGGGAATATGAGTCAAACCAACGCTGCCAAACCTCCGAGAAGCCTCCCTGCTATGCGCCATTGCACAAGCTCTGCTTGGTTAATCGAAAGGGTTAGCCTCTTTTTGAGTTATTGGTCATCTTTCTCTGGTTTTCATGTTCTAAGCTCTCTTATTGGTCGGTGTAGGAATCGGTTATGGGAGCCGGGGGCTTGAAGTCACCACCACCGAGAGAGGACACTGGATTTCTACCTGTATTCCGTTCGGGAAGTTGTTCCGAGAAGGGACCAAAACAGTATATGGAAGATGAGTATATATGTATCGATAATCTGTATCTACATCTTGGATCGCCTGCGGACTTCCCTTACCTAGGAGCATTCTATGGGGTGTGTAACTTCCGTTAGGTTAGATTACTTAAATTCAGTACGACCGATTCATGAATCACTTGCATCATCATTATCAGATTTATTTATCTGCCATTATTAGATTAGACCACATTCTTGTATGTGGAAGAATTGAGGGGTTCCGTTGTTTCCCATAGGTATTTGATGGACATGGCGGTCTCGATGCAGCATCCTTTACCCGAAATAACATTCTAAACTTCATCATCGAAGACAAAAACTTCGCAACCGGAACGAGAAAGGCAGTCAAGAGTGCATACGTGAAAGCTGATCATGCACTTGCAGATGCTAAATCTCTCGATAGATCTTCTGGCACCACTGCTTTGACTGCTCTCATTTTGGAAAGGTAAACAAACCTAAATTGCTAAAAAGATCTTCCTGCATCCTGTGGTTTCGAAATTGAAATGAACATATTAATTTTACCTGTGATCGTTTCGTGTCAGGACCATGATCGTCGCTAATGCCGGCGATTCTCGAGCCGTACTGGGGAAACGAGGCCGAGCGATCGAGCTGTCCAAAGACCACAAACCCAACTGTACATCGGAAAGGTTAAGAATCGAGAAACTAGGTGGTGTGATATACGATGGATACCTGAACGGCCAGCTTTCGGTAGCACGAGCTCTAGGAGACTGGCACATCAAGGGCGCTAAAGGTTCGAAAAGCCCCTTAAGCTGTGAACCGGAACTGGAAGAAATATTACTGACGGAAGAAGATGAGTTTCTTATAATGGGGTGTGACGGGCTTTGGGATGTGATGAGTAGCCAATGTGCCGTAACAATGGTGCGGAAGGGGCTGATGCAGCATAACGATCCGGACAAGTGCTCGAACGCACTAGCGAAGGAGGCGCTGCAACGCAACACCTGCGATAATCTAACCGTCGTCGTCGTCTGCTTCTCGCCCGATCCACCACCGAAGATCGAAATCCCAAGATCGTATAAGAGGAGGAGTATATCAGCTGAAGGGCTGGATCTCCTCAAGGGTGTTTGAACAACGAATGATTTTGAGTGGTGAAGACTTGCATGTATCTTGTACAAAAGAAGGAAGAAAACAATGGAGTTCGAACTAATTGGAGAGCCATCTTCTTTTCTAATGAATAACAACTGATACCTCCCTCTGGATAGAAATAGTTGATGATTTCTTCCACCCTGGATATCTGGTATACCATTTGTTTTTGTCTTTTTGTTTATTAAAAAATATATTTTTCAGGCAGTAACATTAACATACGAGTTGCAGCCTGAAACTAGTAATAAGTTGCCCGGGGCAACCTCATGTTGGATTTCGGGGATTTTTGGATTGTAACAATTTATTTACTATTATTAGACACGTGGAGAACATGTTACTTCAAAATTATAAATATTATGAGTTTGGGATCGGTAATGATTAATTGCTTGCTATTATTGTTTGGCAATATCCCATTCATATTACCAGTAAATAAGGGTGTAAAATAAATAGTTTGTTTGATAAAATATTTATTAAACGTTAATTGTTATTTGTTTATTAAATTATATAAATGAGCATAAATCAAAGTTTTATAGTCTTCTAATAAATAAAGGAACGTAAATATAACTACCATGAGTTGATTCAAGTGATAAGTAACTTGATATCGCTTAAAAAAGATCTCAGGTTCGAGTCCTTTTGTATGCATAAAATCTCTGTTGGGAGATTCATCCACCAAAACTAGATATGGGACGTGAGTCGGTCCGAATTAATAAAACAAAATTTTAGAACCGAGAATGCAAAAAAAAAAACATATATATATATATATATATATATATTCCACTCATTTATATTCACGTAAGAATATAACAAAAGTCATTCACATAATTACCCGCTTTCACATAGCCTCGAATATTCATAATATTATTTAATAATAACACATCATGCTCGTCATCGAGATTTTCCGGGATCAATTCTTGCTCACATACTCAAGTACTCGAGAAACACGACCATTACATGATAAGATGAGGATTAAAAGTCGCACTTTTTTTTAGTGAAAAAACGAAGCTCAGGTATCGATATCTATGTTTAAATTTATTTTTTTATAAAGATTTTACTGGTCAAAAGTGAAAGTACTACTATTAAATCACGTTCCCGTTGATGATGAACCCGGTTTATGAGGTGGCAGAGAGGCGGTTGTGTGGAGGTAGATACTGCTTGTGGCTAAGGTGGGCGGTGGTTCTGGGAGTGAGCTTGGTGGCTCTGCTGGTCCCAATTTTGTGGATTTCTTGTCACTCGGGGGAGCAGTGTGTGTTGTACACTTTGGGTTGTGTTGCCTGCTTGGTTCCATTTGACGGTGTTCAAGGGTGACTTGGGGTGGGATGGAGTGTTTTTGGATGCGGTCAATGTGGTCATAAGTAGAGATCCACATAGTCGGATTTAAATTCGATCCGGTTTTTTCACCAAGCTAAAAAATTGATTTATAAAAAAAATCGGTTCGGATCATAATCAGTTTGGAGGGCCGGATGATGTAACCGGTGTAATCGGTTTCGGTTTGAAAAAAATCGATTTTTTTTTAAAACATGTTTTTAATCCGATAAAAAATCCGGTCATCCAATTTTTTAAACTCTGATCGAATTTTTTTTCCAGATAAAAACCAGTTTTTTATCCAATTTTTTTTCAAATCGGTTTTTAATCCGGTAAAAAATCCAATCGTCCAATTTTTTCCCAAACCGATTATACTATCCTGTTTTTCCCAAATTTGATTTTGGATATTTTTTACGCAAAATCAAATACTCGAATTTTTTGTGCACCTATAGTCATAGGTGTGATCATGGGGATCTCTGGAACCTGTCTTCCCTCATGGGGATCTCTGTAACCGATATGTATAACCATATATCCACCTATAATATAAAATGAGATAAACTACTCCAAATGGTCATCTAACTTTTAAGATACTTTTATTTTAGTCATTAAAAAAATTCTCTTAAATCAGTTATGATCGAATTTTATTTTTTTAGCTAGAATAAATTTGTTCAAATTATTGTTATTTCTTATAGATTCGAGTTTGAACATTATAAATGTCAGATAAAATAAAATCCCTGAAGATGAAAACCAATTTAGAATTGCCCCAAGCCCAAGCCCAAGCCCAAGCCCAAGCCAAAATCTCCTCTTCATACTATATACTAGTCGATAGTACACCTCGGGATGCATGCATGGTAACATGGCCACGTTCATTTCTTCCTTTAGTCAAACATACCAAATCCAACACAAGGAATGGCTAAACTAATATATGCATATACGTATATGTACACACACTCACAGATATATGTAGACAGATGGAATATCGATATATGAAATTATTAAATTTGAAAAATTCAAGATTTATTAAATATTTGAATTTAAAATTTAAAAATAATATTTAATTGATTTGATATATTAAGATATATAAAAATATAAATATAAATTATAATATCTAATTTAGAGATATATTAGTGGGGAGGTGCTGCAGTGACGGCGGCAACCCGAAGACGAGGCGGGACAGCTGGTGCATGCTTGGCGCTGTTTCTAATCAAAGCCACAGACAATAACGCACCTCCCGCCCAAAAAAGAAAAGCACCCAACAACAAACGAGGGGGGCAAAGGAAAAGTAAAAAAATAAAGGAAAATAAAGAGGACCAATCGCCAAATATATAAACAAAACTACCCACCAACAGTAAACGATAAACACAAATTCTGTTTTTTCGTTAATTTTCCCCTAAACACAGAGGAGAAATTCAAGCCTGTGTCTCATCGGATCACTCTGCCGATATGTCTTGTGCTTCATCATCCGGCTCCGAGGAAGAAGACGAGGGAACCGACTCTTACAGGAAAGGAGGCTACCATGCTGTTCGGATCGGCGATCCTTTCGCCTCCGGTCGTTTCATCGCCCAGGGGAAGCTCGGATGGGGTCAGTTCTCCACCGTTTGGCTCGCTTACGATACTCAAACCTCTGTATGTCCCCCCTCCCTTTTCCCCATTTCTATACCTTTCATCTCCAATTTGTATGATATGAATTCATGCTTTTATGATCTGAACCTCTACGGCATTATTATACGTTTCTCATATTGTTTCCCCGTTTCTTGGGATTGGAGATGAACGCTTAGATACTTTACTATATGCATGTGATTAGATGAAATAAAAATAATAATCAGGGAGATTGAGCCTTAAGAAAAAGAAACCTGATCTGGAATCTGAATAGTGTTTTATGTACGAGTTGGCAAAACCTTTATGCTGCCTCTTGATGGAAGATGTTCGTTCTTGGAAAATTTATTTTCTTAGAATTGATCCTTATGATTGAGGTTTGAAGATAAAACTTTGTTGCATAAGAAGAGGGTATCATCGTATTACCTAAACCATTTTCTCTTTTAATCCAGCAATATGTTGCTCTAAAGATTCAGAAGAGCGCACAACTGTTTGCTGAAGCTGCACTTCACGAGATTGAAGTCCTTCGTTCTATTGCTGATGGAGACCCTTCAAACTCCAAGAGCGTGGTGCGCCTGATTGATCATTTTAAGCACACTGGCCCGAACGGCCAACATCTGTGCATGGTCCTTGAATTCCTTGGTGATAGCTTACTTCAATTAATCAGGTTTAACCGTTACAAAGGGCTTGAATTGGATAAAGTTAGGGAGATCTGCAAATGTATTCTTATAGCTCTGGATTACTTGCATAGGGAGCTTGGTATAATCCACACTGACCTAAAACCTGAAAATGTTCTTCTCATTTCCACAATTGATCCAGCTAAGGATCCCATTAGATCTGGTCTTACTCCAATCCTTGAGAGGCCTGAGGGGGGCACCCTAAATGGCGGATCTACCACGAACATCATTGAGAAAAAATTAAAACGGAGGGCAAGACGTGCAGTCGCTAATATATCTAGTAGAAAAGGTTCAATGGGAGGAGAAGCTCTAAAACCTGCAAGATGTCTTGATGGGATTGATATGAGGTGCAAGGTTGTGGACTTTGGAAATGCATGTTGGGCTGACAAACGATTTGCTGAAGAAATTCAAACAAGGCAGTATAGAGCTCCTGAGGTCGTACTTCAATCTGGGTATTCGTTTTCTGTCGATATGTGGTCATTTGGTTGCATAGCCTTTGAGCTTGCTACTGGTGACATGATGTTTGCTCCTAATACGGAGAAGGTTTTAGTGAAGACGAGGTACGACTGTTCTATGCATCACAGTTTTGGAAATGCCTTTCCTTGTTCTATGCAACAATGAAAACAATGTGTTATATTTAATGACATGATGCTTGGTTAGGATCATCTTAGTTCTATTTTCTGGTTGTCATACCAGAAAAGAGCTATAAAAAGAACTACTCCAGTATAACCCAGGCCTGCATCATAACAATTATGTTGTTATATATACATACATACACAGATATATTCTGAGTGTGTCCTGGTTCTAACAGAGTTATAGATTTGGTTATTTCTCTGATTAGCATATTATTAAATGTGTATGCCTACTGTTTCATCAGCATCATTTGTTTGTTTATGTATTGTTCTAGTAATAATGACCTTTTAGAAAGAAGAGTGATAAAGGGCCACTTGGGAATAACGTTTTCGGTTGCTTCCAGGATCACCTAGCCCTCATGATGGAACTTCTTGGAAAGATGCCACGGAAGGTAAAATAATTTCTATCTTAATGTCCTTTCCAATTTATAAAGATGTGGTTCAATTGTTAAATTTTTTGCTCGTGTATGCCCAGATTGCTGTAGGAGCTCGATCAAAGGATTTTTTTGATAGGCATGGGGATCTAAAGAGGATTCGAAGACTGAAATACTTGCCACTCGATCGAGTTTTGGTGAATAAATACAAATTCGCCGAGACCGATGCTCGTGAATTTATGGAGTTTCTTTCCCCGCTTCTTGATTTTTCACCAGAAAAGCGGCCAACTGCTCAGCAGTGTCTGCAACATCCATGGCTGAATCTGAGGAGCTCAGATGGTCAATCCAAGGTGGATGATGGAATGAACAAACTTAAGATTTAAGGTGGGCAAGTGAAGAAGGAATTAAAGATCCCTCCCTCCACCTGTACGACTATTGGTTGTGTTTTTTTTTGGCTTGTGACATTTTCAATAACATTCTTTTTTTTTTCCTGTTAACATAAGTAATAACTATTGTACACACGAGTGTTTAACCGCGACGACTGAATGTGTTTGTTCAAATCGTTACTTTAAGCTACCACAATGCTGAAAGTTTTGATCATTTATGAATCACGCATTTAAGTGTCGAATGAATCTTTTATCTCCTTGATATGCACTTGCCATTCTCCTTGTAGTAGAAAGTGATGCTTATAA